TGCTCGAAGAAGGTTGCAATAATGCTGAGAAAGTTGTAGTGCTCGAAGAAGGCTGCAATAATGCTAAGTGCTTTTCTTGGGAAGAGCTGGCCAAAATCTGCAGGGAAATTTTATTGAGGTTGATTCCACGGCGAGAAAAGCTGCATGAGGGAAGTCCGACGGCAGGAAAGGCTGTAGGGGAGAGAACCGGCTACAGGAGTAAGAGCCAAAAGGTCCAGTCTGCAGCAGATATGACAGCAGGAAGTTATGAAGGCAGGAAAGGCCGCAGGAGGGAATTTCACTGGTAGGAAGGACTACATGAGGGAGTTCCAGTGGCAGGAAAGCCATTATGGGATAGGTCCCGCTGTTTGCTGAAAATGCAAGCCTATAGTTTCCCAAATGCCTACGCAGGGAAAATCGTTGAAATCACAATGGTGTAGTGAACCAGACACCTACGCAGGGAAAAAATTGAGGCACAACAAAGGCTGCAGAAAATTGACTCCGAAGACTGGCGGCGCCTGCATAGGGAAAAATGTGAGGTGCAACAGAAGCTACAGGAATTACCGGCTGCAGAGAAGAATGTAGAGAGGTCTTCGATTTTGATGGCTACTTGGAGAAGGTCCGGTTGGAAACGCAGCCCCCCCTGATGCTTGGGCAGGGAAGAAAAAATACTGCATAAGAAATGGACGGTTTGTCCGATCCACGATAGTGATATCTCCAGCAAGATGATGATGAGGTGGGTGGCAGCATCGATGTTGCAGCCCTAGCTGGAGCCCCATCGCTGATGTCGGCATATGAGGATACAAAGAGGAAGTTTACTCCTGCAGTGAAGAAGTCTATTATTGATATGTTGATGATCTGCAAAGAGGGTGGTCTCGTGAGAGATAGAAACACCGGAAGAGGGAGACTGCAGAAACTGCATTCTGGGAATTCTCCCTCGCAACTGGGTTCTACAGATGTACTAGCGGGAGATGAAACAAAAAACCATTCAGACCTGCTAAAGAGAGAAGCTCCTAGAGGGCCTATAATAGGAAGATGCGGGCCTGCAATAAGAGATTCTTGCTGTAGGGAGGACTCGGGGGAGAGCCTACAACCACATAAATAGTGTTGGTTGCAGGAAATTAAAGATTTGGCAAGGAGATCCTGCTGACAGGGTGGACAACAGGAAGATTCAACATGAAGGAGATCCTGTCGGGAATTTCAGGAGGAAGGAGACCCTGCATTAGGTATTGAAGAGGCCAATAGAAGGATCTGGCTAAGAAATAACAACAGAGGGATCTAGCTGAAATTGCAGGGAAGTCCGTTTGAAAATGCAGAAGAAGGATCCAGCTGGTAGTTTACGGATTTGGCTGGCAGAAAGGAGAATTTTGCCACCAGAACTTCCATGTTTATCCACATTTCCTCCTTCAGTTTGGCTAATAGAATGCATCCAGCGAGGCAGATGTAATTAACTCGATATTGAATAATGAATCCCCAACACGTATTCTCACTTTCTCACAGACGAAGGAATGGTCGAACTCAGAAAACCCCTAAAGGCAATTGGGAATAACATGTTTTCCTGTTTGTTAATCTTCCCCACATAAATAAGGAATACATAAGCAACAGACAAGAACTGCAACTTGTGATGCATTCAAAATGCTGAAGAAGTTGAGCAATAAAATGGTCTTCTGCAGCTTTGCTAGAAGCATTCAGCTTAAGCAGAGGCCTTAGCCTCTCATCTGCACAGCATCCACTGATAACCTGAAGATCTTGCGCTTGAAGCCACTGCAAAATTCAATTCTCCACCTCCCAAGGAAAGTTCAGAAATTCCCCAATAGGAGGAGGTCTGAAGTTCAGAATTTCTACAAGGAGAGAGTTCCGATGGCTAGTGGATTGCAAGGGAAGGAGTTCCGGCAGGGCCTGTAGAGATAAGGAGGAGCAATCTACAAGGAAAAATCCTAGCGGAGGAGGGCCTGCAACCTGCAGGGAGATAACCAACAGCAGGGAAGAAGTGATTCTGGCTAGCCTACAAGTTGGTAGAGGAATTCCTGTTGGACTAAGAACCAAATGCAGGGAGATTCCAGTAGATGAGCCTACAACAGAGAGAATCCGGTGGAGACGAGCCTGTGACAGGGAAAATTCCGGCGAAGGATGAACGCAGCTGTACTGCAGGGAGAATTCCTACTGTAGGAAAGGGTAGAGGAGGTCATGTAGGATGATTGTTGGGATTCCGGCGGCTATTGGACGTAGCTAAACCCGGCCGATTTTGCCGCCTTCATCTCTCGCCGGCGATCGACCTTCTTGCTACCGAAAGAGAACATCGGCAGTCTCCAATTAGGAGAACAGGCTGGGATGTGGGAGATGCTAGAAGATCGCCCGCTGTCCGCCCTTGAGTCGTTGTTGGGATCTGATCAAGTGTCGCCGTTGGATCGTATTCGATTGGGTGCCTTACAATCTCTGCGCTAGATTTTGATCACCTTCTTCGGAAAATCGCCCAAACGCTGATGAGAATTATTTGATTCATCATAGGTCGTTTTTTCACCTGCTTCTCTCTGGGCAGATTTGAGCAAAGAGCAAGTTCCTCCCTTCTCGCAAGAAGGCCGGCGGGAAGGGAGTAACGACGGTCCTCCGACTATTACTGGTGATTAGGGCAAACTTTTGGTCTGATATCATGTAGAAATTTAGAATAATTCGGAATAGTTTTATAGAATAATTCGGAATAGTTTTTAATTCGGAATAGTTTTATTGATATGAACGGGAGTATAAATAACCCTTACAAGAATTCTATAATAGGAAAAATAATAATAAAAAAAAAGATATGAAAGGAAAGATATATCACCTTATATCTTAAATAATTAATTCATATTAATTATTGAGAGATAATAGAAAAAAAATATAAATTAGGAAAATAAATAATTCCTAATATATGAAAAAAAAATCACCATATATTAAGGAAAGAATTTATTCCTCATAATTAGGAATAAATTATTTCCTATTATAAGTCTTACCAAGAACGACAATAAATCATGTAATTTAAATTAGATATTTCAACAAAAAGTCTGTAAAATGACTCAAGATGTCCTACCAACAGAGCACAACAAAATAAATTGAATGCATTCTTGGAGAAGCTGATCCATCAATCATCACAAGTCAATCTTAAATCACATGAAAATAAAATTCTCTGTGGAGATAAAATGCAAAATCTGAAAACCAACAAAAACCTTTATTTTTGTTTAACAAATTTAGAAATTATTTCCTGTGCATTTTCTTACATATAAATGAAAAAAAAATAAAATTGTTGTCTAAGTGATAAATAAGACCAACAGTAAGGCCAAGTAAGCTAACTGACAACGATGACTCGGAACCAACCCAAAGGCCTCGGGAAAGCATTTCAGAGTATAATTAGTGAATCATTATTGATACGCCACCGACAAATTTTCATCCTCCGACATGAATCTCAATATAATTTTTTTGAACAAGAAACATTCAAACTTCGATTAAAAATCATCCGGAGCTCCGATTTTAGCAAACTTATAGTCAAATTGATCGGCTCGATGAGACGGACCTAATGATATGAAAGTTAGTCCAATCCAAGTCAAATCAAGCCCAGATCAAATTATTAAACCACTCTTGGAGGATTACCAGAGACATTTTAAAGGTCAAACGGATGTCGAATTTAGCGAGTTCATAGTCGAATCGAGTATCTCGATAAGACGAATCCAACGAGCCCAATATTACTCAATTCTGAAATCGTTAAGGTACTCAAATGTCCATCAAACATCATCTGATCGAGGGAAACTCTCTGAACCATCGGATCAAAATGGTTCATATTCTTGCATTAATTGCACCCAAAACACTATAAATATAGCTCTACCCTTTGCATGAGGGGGGAGAGGTTTAAGAGAGAATTTGAGACTTGGAGAAAGAGCTCAAGTCCAACGCCCACCGCCGACCTCTGTCGACCACCGTCGATTAACACCGATCACCTCTGACCTCCGTCGACCACCGTCGATTAACGCCGATCACCTCTGACCTCCGTCGACCACCGCCGATGGTCATCGACTGCCGTCGACCACCGCTGACATCCGTTGACCACCATCGATCGTTGGCAATCACTGCCGACCACCATCGACCACCGTCGATCCTCGCCGACTGTCATCCACCGTCGATCATCGCCGACCACCGTTGACCGGACACCGACAGGCGACTCTGTAATCTGAAAATCTAGTAATCATTTCCAGTCTGTGGGACAAGGGGTCGCTGTAATCATCAACATACAATGAATTCTTATAACTGGGTCAGATCCTGTGGTTTTTTTCCTTTACGAGTTTTCCTCATAAAAAACTTTTGGTGTCATCACTTGTTGTTTCACTTTCATCTGAGTGTGTGTTGAATCCTCGTGCAATGCTAAGACGATAATCCATTACTCTACCGTCGTGAATTTTCTAGCAGACATCAATTATGATCATATTTTACATTAAAAATTCTTTTATTCTTTTCAAAACTGCCTTTCAAAGAGATGATAATATAAAAAAAAAAACGTAAAATATGTGAGACTGAATCTCTAAAGGGACAATCAACAAGCTGGATGACCCATAGAATGGGCGACCCACAGCCTGGACAACCCACATTCTAGATGGCCCGCAGCCTGGACAACTCACATCCTGGACGACCTGTAGTCTGAACAACCTATTCTGGACGACCTATAGATTGGACGACCCCATAGCCTAGACGATCCATAGCCTGAATGACCCGCAGTCTGAACGGCCTGCAGCCTTAATGACCCATAGTCCGAAGAAGGGTGTAATAACCTTCATCCAGTGGAATCTTCGATAAAAAAACATGCATTCTTCAACTCTTCAATTTTATTTCAAGAAACAATACCAATATCTTTGTACTTTATTAATAGAAAACACTATATTGTGATGCCAAGTGATATGTTCGTAAAAAAACAAAAAAAAGGGATTTACATATCTAGCACAAAATTCTTATGTATTTATATAATTCACATCAAAACTTTCATTTTTATGCAGACAAGACTATCTTGCAATGTGTATTTCAAAATTAAAAGAGTTCATTCGGGACTTCGAGGTGATTAAGCATAGCTCCTCGTTCCTGAAGCTAAAATTTGCGGGCCTGACTGCTGGAATGCAATGGAAATAAAGTCGAAGGTGCCTGCATTTTGATGGTACTTTGGACCACAGGCAATATTCGCTCCCGTTCGGGCGACTGCCCGATAGGCTTTGGTCCTCTCTGGCTCCCACTGTCTTTTGCTACGTAGTGTATTGCATTCTTCTTGTTCACTTTGTTTGCTCGATTGTAGGATTTCTAAGCTTTTCGCGTTTGCCGTCCCTTATTATGCGTTTAGGGTTTGGAATCTCATTTCCCTCTTATAAAGCCTGATTTGTGTCATATTGGGCGCAGCGACCTCTACTTTGAAGAAAGATATTGTCATTGAACATTTTACTTTTCGGCAATAGGTTATTTGCGGAGGAAGCGGGTGTGGATTATCAAATTTGAATTTGGAAGAGGGGTTCGATTGCTGGATCTCGGAAGATTTTTTGGTCCCGAGGATGCACATTCTCTCTGTTTCAGTTGATTATTTTCTTTTCTTTCAGCGAAAAAGAAGATTTTTTTCAGAAATCTACCTTTGTTAATAACTGATTTGGCTAGCATCCACTAAGCGCAAGTGAAGGTATGAATGTACCTTGGAAGATTTTAATCTTAACTTTTGTTAACTTTCATCTTATATGCATTTTGCAGATTTTTTGGACCATATAAGTGCTGAGTAACATGGTATTTTCCCTGATCCCACTGTCAGAAAAAATGCTGTTTGTATTTTCTTTGTATTGGGCAGATTTCCTGCTTTTGATGAGGAACGTGCAATTAATTTGTCTGCAATTTTGAATCATTTTAGGTGAAGCTAGAAGACGGCACAAATAGTGACGGTGCTCCAAATGGTGAGGCTGGGGTTGATTCTTCAATCGATGCTGGTTCCTCTGGCTTAATAAGACCCTGCTCTGTACCTGTTGTAGTAAAGGAGGTAATGTTCTTTTCTTTCTTAATTTCTTCTTTCATTTTAGGTCTTCAAGTTTCTAGTTTTGGATGTTTTTTTCAATCTTTGTGTTTTTTGACACGCTCATTTTTGGGTGTTATTTCTGGAACATTTAGCTTCTTGTGGCCATTTCTTCTTTAAAATACATTTGAACTGGTAAAATCGGTGAATCTTTTTCATATAGGATAGAAAACTCTCTAAATCTTTTATTAATTGAAAGTAGTGCTCAATACCAATTGCAAATAGGCAAGCATGAGCCATGCTAGAGGGCATAAGACCAATCACAAATTGATTCCACAGTAGAAGTTCATGAATATTTAATTTTAAGAAAGTCACATGCGAGGCTTGGGTTTGTGGCGCCTATCCCGACTCTTGAGAACTAAGTAGTCTAATACTTGAGCTAGATCTCCTTTCTTAAATCAAATTTCCGTTACTTTAAGTAGACTGAACAATATGCTGGACAATATCAATGAAAGTTTCAAGCTTGTAAAACTTTTATTTTGATAATACTTTGTTTTAAAAGAAGGAACAGATGCCACCCATTGAAAGCTTCATTAAAATTCAGCCATGCTTGGCTTGCCAACCGACTCCTGCTCATGTAGGAGAACGCTTCCCAATTTTTGGAATTCAAAAGAACTTTTTATGATTTTTTAAATGATCTTCATAATTAAGCTTGCCAAATTATGAAGTTATCTTTTATGAAATGACTTTGGAATTTGTGATACGGGCATTCTATCTTCATATTGTGATTTCCAGGTTACTCTTCTCTAATGAACTAAAATTAGTACCACATGCAACACTTAATATGGTGAGGATTCACAAAGCTAACCTAATTTTGTTTTTATAAGGTTAGTGATGATGATGGTGGTTTTTGCCTCTCAAGGGAATAACATAAATAATTCTGAAGCCCATAGTTGTTTGGTTGCGTTAATTTTTTCAACATGAAGCAATTGAGTCTAATTGTGAGTCTAATATTGGTTTGTCATGTGATAGTTTCATGTGATTTTATCCATATCAATAACAAACAAGTTGGTTTGAATGCCATATTATGATCTTGAATGAGGGCTTATTCATTAAAGGGAAAAAATAAGTTAAAAGTTACAGAACATAGTGGTGTGCAATGATCAAACGAATTTAAAATATTAAACGCACTCGAACACTGTTTTATATGTAAAATATTTTATAGAGGGAAGTTTAAATTTTTTTTGGGCAGTACATTAAGGAGAATAAACCTTATTTATATTACCGGATCTTATGCTATGCATGGTAATTTTTTCTTAGGAATCTAGTGGTTTCTTAGTCTCTTAATAATTTTGGCTACGACTGATTTTACAAAAAAGTAAAGAAAAAAAAAAAGAAGAAATTGCAGTTGATTAATTAGGAATTCTAAGAGACCATGAAAGAGAATAACTGCTATTGCTTGCAGGATCCAAGAAATAATTCTTGGTTCTATTTTTGGTTTTACTCAAGAACCCATGAAATCTTGGAATTAATTATTGGATTATGTAAGACATTTTCTTCTGGCTATACAGCAGAGATTTGCTATGACTTGGAGATGATATTCTGGAACATGGAGCTTGGAAGCCCCTTGGTTAGGATTTTAGCTTCTTTTTTGTGCGATTGGACATTATGATATATATTAATCCACTTTTTTTTTTTGATAATATATTAATCAATATCGATTTGTTTTCTTTGGCAATATTGAACTAGGTCTTGTGTACTTTTGATAGTTGATTTGTTGTCGCAATAAAATTCAGTCATTCTCACTGCAGTCCTAAGTCATTTAGCATACTTTTGATCATAATTTTTCACAAATTTCTTAGGCCATTGGCCCATTGCACAAATTTAGTTTCATCATCAGATCTGAAGGCAAATAATTGATATATTTTTTTTCTAATGATTTGATTTCCTCTAAGAAAGATTTAGTATCCAGTAGTGGATTTCTGATATACGAGGGATCCTGCTTAGCTAGCATTTGTGGAAGCTTCTAAGATTAGTCCCTCATTGCATCCAAATAAATTTTTTTTATCAAGGTTTTTCTTATATACTAGAGAGTTTTATATGCAACTTGTAATGAAACTTAGGTATATGCATGAACTTGCTTAACACTCACCTCACGGTTTATATCTAATTTTATGCGGGAAAGGTAAATAAAATTTTCAATTAATCTTTGATATCTTCTTGGTCAACTTCTACAATTCTAGTTATTTACCTAATCATATGGCAATAATGTTATTATGGAGGGCTTTCAATCTATAAAATTTGTTTTATTAAATTTCTAGCTTCATGCTGAGTGTGAAGTTAAATAGCAATGCATCCAACTGTATTTCTTACATCTAACTATTGTAAGAACTAGTTTGGATTTTTTGCTAGGGATAGTAGTATTCGAATACTATTTAGCTTTTCAATTAGTGCAAAGTTTTCTCCTTAATCACTTCCATATTATTGAGTGTAGCCTTCTACAATGATTCTAGCTTTATATCTATAGAATGCTCCATTTGCATTGTATTTGACAACGTATATCTTTTGATCGTGTATTTGTATGCCCCTTTTGAGAGCAATAGGAAGACATGTCATGATGGTTTGAGTTTTTGGGTTATAATCCGTACATTCATTATGCGGTGGTTGGTCGATCTTGCACATATTTTAATGATTGTGCTGTGCATGCCTTAGTTAAGTGCTGTTTTCTTTTCTCTTTCTTGATACTTGTAGTAATAGCTTTAAGATGATTGTGTATGGCCTTTATAGGGTCACTTTTAGGAGTATATGAGGCTATTTGAAGTGGAATGGTTTTAATTATGAGATTGATTGAAGTTATTTGTGTTGGTGAGTAAACTTTGAGGGATCAAAGTTTAGAGAATCAAAATTATCTTCATACCATAGCTTCCTATGGAGGCGACCTTAGTCATAAAATTTTGATTTTTGGAAAAGATAATATCTTGAGAGAGAAAGCTTTTTCTAAAACTTTGGTGGTGATACTTGCCCTTTTTAAGTTTAGCTGTATCTAAGAAAGATGCTTTTCAAGTCCCTCTGATCAACCTTAGTGTTTTGATGGTTTTAATGGATATCAATTTTGGCAACACTCTTAAAATTTTTTCATGGGGCTATGAGCTTTGCAAGGGAAATTTTTTTTAAGAGGTGTTTTATTTTGCAATAGTCCATTAAGAAGGAGATTTATTAGAACAAATGATAAGATAATATTATCCTAGGAAATATCTGGAACATGCCTTTCAAAGAGTAGGTCCTTAATAGTTTGAAAATGAAGTTTTTTCCTTATACCATTTCATCTTTTGTGGGGTCTCGTATCAGAGGATTCATGTATTATGCCCTTTTCTTGATGAAAAAAGGATATGTTTGATTTAGGTTTTCATTATTTATTTAATGCATTCAATATTTATGTCTAGTTGGCTAAGGATCATTCTATAAAACATAGGGAGAATTATACTTTAGATTTATAATAAACAATAATCATGTAAGTATGTGAGTAACTGTCTACGAAATAAACAACCATATGACCTCTTTAACATTGTCAATTAGGGACAGTTCTATACATCAATATGAATTAAGGAAAAAAAGACAGAGGCTCTTGAGCAAAGACAGAGAGGCCCTTGAGTGTATAATCACTATGTGAACCTTAGCGTGATGTTAATATGGGCTTTTTGTTGGGTTTATCACAAACATTCTGGAGGCATTATTCTATTTTTGTGATGGTAGATCACTTTTAAAAATGGCATGTCTTATAGAAGTCATAAAATTATTGAAGTATTTGTCTTTGCTAAACTATATTTTGATGAAAGGATTAAATTACATGGATTCTTTAAAATAAGCATTTTCTATATAGACTTAAAATTTCACTTACTTTTGGAAAATACTTTATGAAAAAAAAGAGCGTATACTACTGCTTTATGGTGTTTGGCAATTTGATGCGCCTCACATTGGAATTCTTTAGCTTCCATTTTATTAAATAATGCAGCAAGCATAAACTGTAATACAATGAAGGATGGATTACACATCTCAATAAGATGGAGCTAAATTTGTTCCTTTTATATTTCTTTTTATATTCAAATTTTTAAATAGATAAGATTTAGGCATAGGATTATTACTATTTGTTTCTTTACAGTAGAGTATTTTTTGTTTATATTTGCCTTATAATTTTTCTCGTAGTTTGATTTTGAAATAAGAAATAAATGAAATATTAAATTACAATGAAATTTAGGTCATATGTTAGTTTTTAAATGGATAATAGATTTTTGAATAAATTTTGAACACGAAGGACATATGATAATGGGGACAAATGCGTGTTTTGCTTTCATAATCTCGTTCTAGCTAATGTAGCTAAAGTTCCATTAACTATTTTTATATTTCGATTTTTTGAACATAGTGTAAAGGAGAAAATTTTTTTTGAGGAGTTTGCCATTTGGCCTATTCCTCGTGAGTCTATTATTTAGGTTTCATTGGAATTAGCTTTTAGAGCACTTAAGAGGTGAGAAATAGAATACTTAACCAATTGAGTCATATAGCATGCCCATTGGTTTATTAAATGTCGGGACATAGTTTTTCACTTTTTATTCGATTTATTTTATCTTTGTAGCAGCTTTGTCATTTTCCTCCATAGTAGTCGTGTTGGCTTGACGATGCTCAGACTAGTTTTGATATGAGGGCTTGTTTTTGCTGTATAGAGGCTTCCCTTATTCTTCCCAATTATGCTTTTTGGGTGTTTTTCCGTTTTGCAATAGATTCAGAATATATTTTTTCAATAATTTTGACTTGGTGGACTTGATTTTGACTTGTATGGCCTCAACCTTGCTGGTATTTAGTTCAGGGGCAGCAATTAGGGTAGAGCTTTGATTAACAGTGTTTGTTTTAGTACAATGCTATGCCTCCTTTCTTCAATTTTAGTGTAAATAACTTTATCTAGGGTTAGAAGGTAGTCATTTGAGTATGTTTCTGATCTTATTTAACATTCAAGCTAGATAAAAATTTAGACT